TCCAGTTAGCAGAAACTTCAAAGCTCTGCATAAAGCAGGAGACCAAACCCCTGAGTTCTCCAGACTTCTCTGTCAACCTAAATTATCCTGTGATCTTACAAATACAAAACTGGACAGGGAAGACAAAAAAATTAAAAAAAAAAAAAGGAAAGGAAAAAAAAAAGGGGGATGGGGTGGGCAAAAAGCCCAAGATTTTTGATTTTTGTTTGGCTATTTTGGGGGCTTTTTGAGGAGATGTGTGTGGGTCTTGAGGCTTTGAATAAATTTCTGGAAAAACAGTTTTTTCATTTTTAAACTCTCTGGAGTTGTTTCACTTATTTACAGTCCCAGTCTTCCAGGAGAGGGGTTTTGATCCTTTGCTACATAAAAAGGTAATCTAAGAACGAGTAACTGCAGATTCCAGACATGACACTTGCAGGTTTCTCTTTGATGAGATTCAAAAAGAAACATGATGCGTGCCATGCTGTCACAGGTTAAAGTATTATATGACCACAGGCTATAGCTAACGCTATAGGAAGAAGACTTCTGACATGTGAAAAAGCCAGTCTAACAGACCCAAAGCGTAACGTGGTGGAAACAGAAAAAAATACCAATGTAGAAACAAGGTGCACGCTTTAACAAAGAACATAATTGACAAATTTGGGCTGTGCACCAACTTTGGGCGGAAGCTGAGAAGTCTCGAAACCCTCAGAGCAGGGACAAGAAACAAAACCTGTTTCTAGTGGCTAGTTCACGCTGATTGCAAGTGGTTTACAAATGAAGTGCGATCAGCTTATGGAAGGAACTACACGATGGGTTGACTGCAACAGCAGGAGCATGGCTTAATGGCCTTTAAGCTTTCCATCCTATTTTTGTCCTTTTAGAAAATAATGCATTTATTTTGAAAAAGGATCAGATAACATTCCCGATATTTGACAGGGGATCCCTCTTCACTTAAGCTTCTGAGGTCAAATGAGACAACTCGAATGTTAATATGCCAAATATAAAATTAATACTGCGCATTATAAAACTGAAATACACTTTCTGCATAGGAAAGTACTTTTCAACGCTAAGTTAAGAACAAAATAGTTGAAGGTGGAGTTCAACATAATTTGATTAAAAAAGGCTAACGTGACAAACCCATTCTCAATGCCTTGTTCACCGCTTTGGAATATCTGCACAGAACAGTCAAAGTTTTAAAGGTTGTACTTTGCCTCAGTATAAAAACTGATCAAAAGAAATATCCACAGCCTACATACAACTTACCTGTCAAGACTCGTTCGGCCAGGCAGGTCTACTCCAGAACACTATAAAGGATAGTACATGAGTACATTTGTACAATTTATGTTGTATATAAGTTCCTAATCTTATAGATACACACAGGACTACACATGCCTGAAAAATGACTTGAACATAAAGTTATATTAAAGTTGTATTTATAATGTTGAAAATAGAAAGTGCTCTACCATTGCCATGAACTGTATTTATAGAGAAGTTAGCCCAGATGGAGAAAGCTGAAGCAATGTTTCAAATATACTCCTATCCTTTCCTTTCAGCATGCGACTGCTGTTTCTTTTCTTTTTGTCCCATTAGTACTTCCTCCATAGATGAAGGAAGTGATGACTGAGAGTTCAGGGCCTTGTCCTACCCAGTATTAGCAGAGCTGACAGATGCCCTCCTCTTGATAGTGACCGTGAGCATGGGTTGCATTGTCATGCAGCATGCAGCCTTTTCCCTTACTGGTGACGTTATTAGTTTTATTAGGTTCCCTGCAGCTCCCATGATTCAGGCAGGTTTCTCCCATATTCCAAGATTAACAAACTTCTTCTCAAACTACTTGAAGTTGGGTTGGGTTTTTTTGTTGTGTTTTTTTTTTTTTTTTTTTTTTCCTAAACATCTTTCACTTATAGCCAGAAAACCCGGTTAAGAGTGGAGAAATTGAGGGAAGTGGAAGCTCTTAACTGTGATGCTTGAAGGTCCAAGTAGAAGGTCCTGTGTTTGGGGTGTTCTGACGTTGCTCTATATGTGTCTTAGAACTGTTTTCTTATGAATTTCATCCTAACTTTGACCTGAAGGAAGGTAGCAGGTGGCAGATCTGACTGCAAGAAGCCATGGATACCATTGCAGGAACCCTGAAACACCACCAGGTAGTTTCAAGAGGTTTCCTGAAAACAGAATCTTAAATATCTTAACAGTTTAGTTTAATTAAGCTAAATGGACATGATTTAGCATGCATTAATCCATATTAAGTATTACATAATTTGTATGCATATCTGTGATGTAAAGTCAAGACCTGCCTAACATACACCTAAAATGAGGTAAGAAGCTGGGTTTGGCCTGGTATTGTTAAAAATATTGCAGAGCCATACCACATTATTTGCCACTGTGCAACCTCAGACAGTAGTCACGCTGAACAAGCGCGGTTTGTTTGAGAGGGCTCTTTTTAAAAAAAGGCTCTTGCACGTGTAAATAGCTGACAATTTTAAGACAATATTGTTGCTATTTTCTGAGTGACCGTGGTCCAGATTCACTTCCCATTTAATGACAAGTGAAAGTTCTGAAAATGTAACCTGCACTATCACAGGCAAGGCAAGATTAAAAATATATTGCTTCAGTATTTCATGCACGTATACTTCAAATAAGCTGAACATTGTTATCAGATGCATCATTAGCACTTCTGAACGCATTTACTGCCGAGAACCCTAAGCAATCCCACAAAACTCAAATGAACTGGACTTGTTTATGAAGCTTGACTGACACCTGTCAGTGTTGGCTATGTGCAGTCCAGACACAAGAGCGCTCATCTCAATGTTCAACTTTTAGAAATTAAGCCTTGCATTTCAAAAATTGCTTTTTTCTGAAGCGACCTCCAAATTCCCCCTTTCGTGTCCTTCAGCGGTTCTCTTCCTAATCCAAACACACAATTCAACCACAAAACCAAGTTTTTGCAAAGCAACACCAGAGCCTTTGGAGATGATCATATTGCACTTGACTACTGCGTCAAACACTTTTTATACTCCTCTGGTTTGCAAATAGCAAATATTTCTGCCACTGAGCGCTAATCATCCCTCTCCAGAGGGAAGATAAATACATTACTGATTTAACTCCTGAGTAAAATGTTCATGTTGTCACTGTCCAACTGCAGCAGAAAGTTTCTACTATCTCCCTTTCAGGCTAGGCATGCTTAGAACAAGTGCATATGCACGTACACATGCAGAGATATATTACACTGTGCCAACGCACCGAAATGTACCTGAACAGAAGCTTTTCCTCTTTTGAATGCAGGTGAGGATTAAGTATAAGTTAAATTTCAAAACTGACTGGGGAAGTACCTAACTCACACTGACCTTCACTTATATTGGAAGAGGGGCCCTTCATGGGCCATAGGTATGGCCAGTGGATCTACGTCAACATCAAGCCAAGGTCCCCTGCTCTTACAAACTCTAAATAAGATAATTTTGAAAGCAAGCCTCAATAAAATAAAATAAAATAAAATTGCCTTTGTAGTCAGAAGGTGTAAAAAGGACGTTTTGGCAGAACCGTAGCTTACTGAGCAGGTGGCTGAACAATTTTATGGAAACAATGCAGTCAGAAACCAACCAGGGTAAGTAAGCCTCTCCCAAGTAAAGAAGAACGAGTCTGTGCAACCAACACAATGCTGCAAAGAAACAACAACAATACCTTCCACAGTACATAAACACTGTAGGGCTTTTGGCCTTGTTAGATGCAGCTTAATCTGGGAGTCTTTTCTGTAGAGAAAACTCTGAGAGCTTTGTATTGTATCTATATGAATTTCACCTCTACCCTTGAGAGAGTAAAGCTAGAGTTCCCTGTTAAAAACAAGTCAGATAGGTACCACCCTGTCCTGCTGTTAATTGATTTTCCTTTCCCCCACTGTTAGGATGCAAAGCACCTGTTTCCTTGACGTATACACAACTTCTGTGTTCACACATGCACATACAACTTGGCAGAGGTAAAATCTGCCTACTCGTTATAGGCTCTGCACTTTACCGTTAAAGGTCGAGCAAAAGGAAAAGCTAAACCAAACACAAAGCAAACTATAATGGGAGCTATGCAACACAGAGAACTACAAAACAACAGGTGTCTTTGGCAACAGGCTTTCACATGGAAAAGCACAAGAAAATAAACAGAAAGCACAAAAAAAGACTAGAAGAACAAGCATTATTCTTCAAAAAACACAAAACAACCCAAATTAAATTTTAAAGAGCACCCAAAACCAGAAGACTTAATACATTACAGTTTCCAGGTAGAAGAACAAGAACAAGAGATTGGATATGACCCTTTGTTGTATGTCAGTTCATTAAAAAATTTAAGATGAACAGCATTAATTAGTAAATGGATTCACCTCCAAGAAATTCATCTTGGCTGATATTGTTGACATAGTTTTGTTAGTAAACAGAATTTTAAAAGTGCAACAGTGGAGTAGGAGGACATACACATAGACGGCATTCTGGCATACACTGAGCAGTGTCACAGAAAGTTACTTTCTCTCCACGTTACTACCTGAAAGCATACCTTTAGTCTGCAAATACAGAGCGACTTCACTGTAACAGTGAAAAAAAATCAGGTTTTGCGGAAACTGACATCACATATTTCCAAGGAGATTATCATCTCCGCAGTTCCCGGCAATCTGAATTTATTTTCTTTTGAAGGAACCACTTTGCCGCCTAGACTTGGTTTCCTTTTAGATTATGTAATTTTATTTGTTCTCGAGTCAAAAGCAGAGAAAAGTGAGTATTTTGGCTCTAAGCAGGGACGGTATTATTCCAAATCATAAGGAATCAAGTCCTCTGATGGCCTACACTGCTGCAGCAGAACATGTTTTATAAGAACAGAGACCGAAAGATGTGCTTTTATCCTGCCAACAAAAGCAACGCTGTTCTCTGCACACAGCAGCAGTGGTCCATAATAAGCTTGCTGACAATAGGCAAAGGGTCATCTCGCATGGCAAGAGTAGCCTCCAGCATGGATTAAAAATATAAGAAAAACATTTGACGTACTTGGATCTGACAAGATTGAGTCGGTTTTCGGCAAAAATTGGTCACAGCGGACTCCTTGGTAGCCCTCTTTGCACCTGAGAAAAAGGGGATAAATGACAAACATATGCATGCGATAGTAAAAGGTTAATTTCAAGGTAGCAAAATCAACTGAAATTCTCCCTGCCAACGCTGCGAGGGACTTGCATATTTACAGTTCTTTCAACTATTAGGGAAGCAAGGTTATTACTGAAACACAATGGAAGCACGTAAAATCATTTGTTTTTCAAAGAATTCCCTTCAACTCTTTTTGATTATTTCAGAAACTACGAAAAGGAACGTCACTTAAGCAGAACCCTTCTTTTAGATATCAATTCAGTGACACAATCAAAGAAAAATCCTCTATAAAATAGACATATTTGTAATAAAATAAACTCATTAGGTAACACAAAGCTTTACAAAGCTCCTGTACTGTACAAGCCATCAGATTAACAGCTTGTTTATCTTTAGCTGTTTGAATAAGTAGGGAACACTTACCCAGCCATTAATTTTAGGCCTAGTTTCTACTGTGCTTAAAAGATAACATGTTTAGGTATGATAGACAATGTCAGGCATTGTTTGTAAGTGAACAGTCTTAGATGTCCGCGGGATTAGATTTTAAAGCACATAAACCAGAATACCCTCCTGCCTTAAAAAACATGAAGAGGCTTTGACTGAGAATCTAATACTATTATTTACCTTGAATCCTTACTTTGAAGAAATTCCATTTGCTGCATTTGGACTGTTCTCAGAAGTCTCTCGGTCTCTCATTTCAACTAAGTGTATCAGAATCAGGCCTTTAATAATTTATTTGCTAAGCAATTTTTCAGGGAAAAGTGATGGACACTTTAATTATAAATGATAGCAACAAGGACTCCGTATGTCCCAACGCTCTTGCATATCGAATAAACAATATGCTCAAATCAGCATCACCACCTTCATTAGGATTGACAACTGCAGCTTGAATTATGTGATGATGTCAAGAAGAGAAGTTATCTGCTCCTTCACAATGTTTCTACTCAGGCTTCCTCTAAAAGTTGCCTTTTAAAATGCTTTTGGGTTAATAAATTAATGCTTCAGTGAGAAGTACATCTCACCAGCCTTGATTCAGGGATTAGAAAGCACATTTGTGAGCAAGTATGTAAATTATAAGAACTGCCATCAGACCCCCAAAAGTAGTAAAAATCTTCAGTAAGAAGAAGATTTAAAAAAAAAAAAAAAAGCTATTATTTAAAAACCTCCCTTTTGGCCTTTCTCCGTGAAGGATACCGAGTGCTACTTTGGAGATCAGCTTCTTACTGGTACTCATCTATCTATAAAATGACTGACTGGGAAAAACTGAATTCAGATCCTATGGGAGTGGTCACAAGTTATCAGTCAAGGAAAAATGTTCTAATTTTTTTTTTTTTTCAATGCAAAACGTTCAATTAAAATTGTCCACTAGTCAGAAAAACTGAAAAAGTCTCCATATACCCAGACACTGCTGCATGCATTTTTTGCCTCTGATTATGAAGTATCAGAAGTTGCCTCACATCAAAGAGAAACTCTTCTTTGCAGTCTTGTCTTGAGAAGAGTTGGTAGACCTCATTTCAAAGCTTACAACCTACATGGTTGCATTAGCATTTTCTATTAACTTTTTGACATAAATTTGTACCTGCCTCACTTACCTATTACAGACTTAATTACCCTCAATTACCCTATTACAGACTTAAACCTCTCTGTGCTAAACTGTTGGTCTGCAAGTCATAGAAGTGTTCATCACGTAGCCTAATTCCACAACTGAAAACTTTGATGCTACTGATCGTGCCCCTGTACTTGGCACTGGTGCGGCCGCACCTCGAATACTGTGTTCAGGTTTGGGCCCCTCACTACAAG